GAACCACCAACCTTTTGGTTAGCAGCCCAATTCATTAATCACAGTGCCACCAGACCTCCTCCATATCTGACCAAAAAACAAACTCAGTGCTGTCAAATCATTTCCAACTTATAGTGACCCCCATTGAGTTCCTAAGGCTGACAATCTTTATAGAAGTAGATTACCCTATCTTCCTCCTGTGGAACAGCTGGTGAGTTTGAACTGCCAACCTTCTGGTTAGCAGCCAAATGCCTTCACCACTACACCACCAGAGTGCCGTATTCCACAAGAACAGTGCTTTACAGCACTGTTACCCCCTTTACATATGAGGAAACTGAGGCACCCAGCAGTGACTTGCCCCAAAGAACTCCATCTAGGAAGTGTCGGAGCCAGGACTTGAACCCAGGCAGCCGGGATCAGAATCTGTGCTGTTAAGAATCTCCTCCCTGAAAAGCAGGCAGGCAGGGTTTTTTTTTTTGTGTGTGTGTGTGTGTGTGAGAGAGGCCCAGAGGGCATCCTGAGTGACCAAGATGAACAGATGGCATTTGGAGGGCATCTTGCCTAGTCAGGGGGCTTGGTGGAGCCTGCCCTGGCCCCAGCACCGGTAGGCAGAGTGTCTATGGAAATGAGACAGAGGTGGCGGAGGGCTCAAGGTGGCATGTCCTAAGATGACCATGTTGGGGAGCAGGAGGAAGGACGAGCTAGCAGCAAAGCGAGGCTGTGTGTTCAGAAACGCACGACCAGCACCAGCAAAGAGCAGCGTTCAGGAAGCAGGTCAGAGAGAAGGTAGCGAGGCAGGTCCACCAAGCTGCCAGGGGGATGTGACTGCAGCAGGTGCCCCTCAGCCTGTCTGATGAGCTCTCAGGAGAGTAGGGGACAGGGACACGGTTGGCAGCAGGCGCCAGCAGCCGGGGCTGGAGATCACACCCAGTGACCGGCTGAATTTGGTGCCTTGGGCTAATCTCATCCCTTCTGTGAACTTGAAAAGGGGGGTGATGACAGGGCCATCCTCACAGGGCTGACATGCGGACACAGTGAGGTGATCCTTGGGCACCTGCCCCCCACCTGGTGCCGGCACAGGGTGAGAGGTGGGCGCACACGGCCCTTCCCACTGCTGCCACCATCACCCGCACTGATGTCATCAGTCAGAACCATTCCCTGTCCGGTGGCATGGGTACCCGAGTCAGGCCCCCCACCCACTGCAGTGGCCCGTGGGCAGGTTGCTAGGCTTTTCCAAACCAAGCCTCCCTCATCTGAGGACAGGGAGAGAGGCCTGCCCACGGGCAAAGGGTGAGTGCAGACGGCATGCACGCACCCAGCTTGTGGGGTGGCTGTGGTCACTGTAATTCACCTTGTCACAAGAGAAGCCCCTCTCCCTTACAGTGTGATCCCAGTTGTCCGACCCAGGGGGTAAAGTCCTGGGACTCCTTCCTCAGACATTACCTACCTTACCCAAGGTCACCTTGCTACAGAGCCACACCTGGGTCTCACTCTGTCACCGTGCCCTGTGCCCCGGCTACAGCTGCACTGGGCTGAGCGCGTGGCAGACAAGACGACCCCCTGGTCCTGGGATCGTCTTGTTCTGTGTGTAGAAATGTAGGTTAACTTCTGCCAGCCTCTGTCACGTACACAGATCCCAGCTGTTCTCACTGTGGTCTTTGTTAACGACCACGCTTACGGAACAGACACACCAGGGACAGCTGTGTGGTGAGAGCCGATGTATTTATCTGTTGCTGATGGGGACCGTGACTGTGTGTGCACTGTCCTCTGGGCAGCGGTTGGGTGACAGCAGGAGGCACTGAGCCTCGTGCTGGAAGGCCAGGCCTGGGGAGGATTAAGCCCTAAGGCCCCCGGGCCCCCCACACACGTCACAGTTCTGTGTGTGGGCGGTGATGCCAAGCGTGGGCTGACCATGGGAGAGCGAGCCCAGGGCTCCGCTCTGCACTCCAGATGGGGGGCCCGGGCTGAGGAGCAGGGACCACAGGGGTGGAGCTGCCCAGGCCCACGTCTGCCAACGTGCTGTGTGGAGGCAGGAGCGGGCTCTGGCTGCAAGCATCTGGTTCTGTTTACATCTGTCAGCTGAGGGCTCCAGTCGCTACGCAGATTCCTGTGAGCTGTTTGCTTGGTGTGAGTCTCCTCACTCTCATCGGCCGAGGTTTCAGATTGGTGACACGTGTCATGAGCGTCACAAGGCCAGACACTGGTTCATGGTCCCCGTAGTCTGAGGCGGCGGGTAAAGCATCCCGAGACCTGCTCTCGTCTGTTGTCACGTCAGAGTGGACACCCAGCCCAGCGTGCCTGGCTGTGAGCTGCCCAGAGCTCCACCTTTAGGACTTGAGGGGGTTGGTGACCCGGCCCATGAACAGCAGGCAGCTGGTGCGGTGCTCATAAACCAGGAACAGGAAGGGGCGGTCGACGGTGAAACGGACCTGGGTGGACAGTGGCATGAAGCCCACTGTGGTCACGGCGGCCGCCTGGGAGCCCTCCTCGTTCACTGTGACGGTGCCTTGGTGCCTGAACTGTTGTGGACAGAGTGGAGAGGTGTCAGGCCCAGAGAGGAAGGCGGGCGGGGACAGCGAGGCTCGGGGACAGCGAGGCGCGCCTCATTTGGGGACAGGCTCTAGGGACCACATGTCAGTCAAAACCCCCAGCCGGACACAGGCACCCTTGACATTGTCTAGAATCGTTTGTCTGGTACGGGAATCAGGCCCGAGGCCATGCTGCGCAAGCCGTGCCTGTCGTTAACCTCTGATCGCCTTCTGGCCCGGCACACAAACACTGCGCAGGCCCGCGGAGCAGGTAGCGGACCGCCCCGCCCCCGCTGTGCTTTCCAGGGTTTTCCTTGAGGAGGGTACAGCTGTGTCCTGTCTCACTCTCGGGCTCGCCTGTGACCAGGGACTGGTGTGTCCCACCTCGCGCTCTCGGGTGTGTCTGGGAGGGCAGGTGTCTCTCAACTTGCTCTCTGGATGTGTCCCTGAGGAAGGAATAGGTATGTTCTGCCTTGCTCTCTGGGATATGTCTGTGAGAAAGGGGGGGTGTCCCCTGTCACTCTGGGGTGCATCTGTGACAAGGGATTGGTATGTCCCACCTCGCACTCTCTGGGGTGCGTCTGTGGGAGGGCAGGTGTATCTCACCTCGCTCTCTAGGGCGTGTCCTAAGGAGGGGCCAGGTGAGTCCTGTCTCACTCTCTGGGGTACCTCTGTGACGAGGGACTCGGTGTCCCCACCTCACTCTCTGGAGTGCGTCTGTGGCAGGGGACAGGTGTGTCTTGCCTCGCTCTCTGGGGCCTGTCCATAGGAGGGGTTGGTGTGTCCCACCTTGCTCTCTGGAGCATGTCTGTGATGAGGGACTGGTGTGTCCCACCTTGTTTTCTAGGGTGTATCTCTGAGGAGGGACTGGTGTGTCCCACCTTGCTCTCTGGGGGCACCTGTGAGGAGCAGCCTAGACTTGCTGCGTGGTTAGGACAGGTGCACGCTCCATTGTCTGTGGTTAGGTTATGTCAGTTAAATGTGCCTGTGGTGCAGTTTCTCCAGTGTATCTGATGACTTGTCATGTGTCACCGAGGAAACACGCACGTGTCTGCTCTTTCTTGTGGCAGCGGGCCCGGGGGTACTCCAGGGCAGCACTGCATGACCACCCTACCTGCAGTGCACCTGGCTTGCACCCAGGCAGGTGGTCTTCCCCCGGCTGCCCCATGTGGAGTGGAACATGCTCCTGTGGGTGTCACAGCCAGGCCCAGAGAGGTGGCCCCCACCCACTGTCTTGTAAGCTCAGACTTCAGTGAGGCTGAGCCAAGTGTGCATGGGAATGGCCTGGGCCACCTGTGTGAGGGTGTGGGCTGGTATAAGTGCACATGGGAGTGTGGTGGGTGTGTGCATGTGGGTGTGGGCTGGGCCGCCTGTGAGGAGTGGAGGCTGGCCTGTGTGTGTGTGTGTTCAAGCGTGGGCTGGGCTGCCTGTGAGCAGTGCAGGCTGGGCCGTGTGTGTGCATGCAGATGTGGGCTGGGCCATCTGTGCGAGGGTATGGGCTGGTCCAAGCGCACGTGGGAGCAAGCTGGGTGCGTGCATGTGGGAGTGGGCTGGGCCAGGTGTAGGCAGGTATGGGGTGGCTGCCCGTGCAGGAATGCGGGCTGGGTTGTGTATGTATGTGCAGGTGCAGTCTGGCCCACCTGTGCAAGGGTGCCAGCTGGTCCCAGTGCACATGGGAGTGGGCTGGGCGCGTGTATGTGGGTGTGTGCGGAATGCAGGCAGGTGCAGGCAGGTGTGGGCTGGGCTGCTTGTGTAGGAATGCAGGCTGAACCACCTCTGCAAGGGTGCCAGCTGGTCCCAGTGCACATGAGAGTGAGCTGGGTATGAGCACGTGGGTATGGGCTGGGCGTGGTGTGGGCTGGACCCAATCCTGGCTGGGTTGTGTGTGCACCATTGCAGACTGGGTACTTGTGAGCAGGTGTGGGCTGGGCCTGGTGTGGGCTGGGCCTGGTGTGGCCCGGGCTGCCTGTGCAGGAGTGCAGGCTGGGCAGCGTGTGGGTGGGGTGGGGGCAGGTGCGGGTTGGGCCATGTGTGTGCAGGCGGGTGAGGGCTGGGCTGTGTGCTCAGGGGTGTGGGCTGGACCTCCTGTGCATGGGAGCAGGCTGGGCTGCCTGCAGGCAGGGCCGGACTGTGTACACAGGGCAGAGGGAGCCGTGGGAGAGATTACCAGGTCAATGGTGATCTTCTCCTGGGAGATCCCAGACAGGTTGCCGTTTTTGTCAAATAGCTCTGTGATCCCCATCGACTTGAGAGCCTCCACCAGGTTGTAGTTCTTCTCCAGCTTGAATTTCGGCAAAAGCACCTCTCTCGTTCTGGAACACAGGGACAGGGGCCCCCCATGTTGTTCAGCTGCTGGAAGCTTCTCCAATCACAGCAGAACTGTGGTTTCTCATGTAAACATCCACAGCCAACCCCTCCGGGTAGTGTTTAGCCTGGAATTGACACAGCACTTGTAAAAATCCTGTGTGGTGCTGTCAGCTGAGGATTCTGGAAGGACTGGCTTCCCACAGTTCCAGTTCCATAACATTGAGACCCGTAACTGTTCTGTGCCATGGAGTCCATTCCGACCACAGCGCCCCCGGAGGACAGAGTGGAACTGCCCACAGGGTCTCCAAGGCTGTCAGTCTTCACAGAAACAAAGCCCAAACCACGCCCACTGCCGTGGAGTCCATTCTGACCCACAGCGCCCCTAGAGGACAGAGTGGAACTGCCCACAGGGTCTCCAAGGCTGTCAGTCTTCAC